GGATGTTTTCAGACAGCCCTGGTAACTACTCTCAATTCTCTTAGCTAGAAGCATTTGCCGGAAAAAACCGGTGCTAGTAGTGACAAAAATTGCAGGAAACTGTGCAAAAAACGCATCTTCGCACCGGCAGTCGGTGCGCTGGCCATTTATTGACACTTGTTACCCTCGGAATATTTCTGAGTGCCTCAAACTCCCACACTGATTGGGTAACGAGGGATTATTGACTTCTGATATTTTGTAGATCGACATTTTGTCCCAGATTAAAAGAAAAGCATCCCCTCCCTCCTCCCATTCTTGCTCTCCAGGAGAGAAAAGAGGGCTCAAAAGGTACCGTATCCTTTAAAAAATTCCTTTAGAATGACATATAAACAAATGGTGGATTTGAAAGACTGAATAAATTAAGGTGGAACTGCTCGCTGATCAACCCGAATACCATGAAAGTGTTCGGCGACATGATCTTAAGGCATGGTACTCGAGAAGCTGCATTTGTACATGCGATTTCATCAGCTGGTATTGCCTACCGTATTACAAAGTTCGCTTTATTTCTAGTAAAACATTTATTTTGTATAAGAAATCAATAACTTGCTTATGCTACAGCAAGTTTTCGTCTAGAGCTTGGGAGGCCCCTAACTAAGTTATTTCTCCAACTTTAATGCTTGTTGAGAAATAACTTGTTAGTGACGCTAATGGTTTATTCCTACACGCCGAACGCAGCTGTGCGGGGCCCTTCGATCCTGAGTTGCGCACCTGCAGCTAATATCCACTGCTTGTTCGATATAACCTGAGTGATAGTCTACTTCCCCGTGGTATTACACATAACTGCATGATCTCTTATAAGGATTTACTGTCTGTCTGTTATGAAGAGTGAAATACGTGAAGGGTTTTGATCTTGACTTAAGTTTAAGACCTGCCTTAGAGCAAGGCCGGAGAAACTAGTGGCTTTAAGTCAAATTGTCGGCAGAAGTAGCCGCCGAGGCCCTTTGACTGTTGTTGGCAAACTGCTGTCATCTAGATCAGTCTTTTAAGTCTTCTTTTGTACAGAAAATTAAAGTGACATTTTCGAGTCCGACACCTGTATTACAGGATGTGAAAGGTACTAACTGGGAGTATCTAGTAAAGTGTTGAAGGGCCTAGCATAGCTATGTCTGGCCTGTAAGAAACATTCCAGTAATATTACTAAAATAGCAAACCCAGTATCAATTGTCTGCAAAATCTTGCTGTTCTTGATTCGCAGATTAAATCAATATAGTCGTTGTTAAACGCTTTAAAAACGGAGAATTATGGATCGATGGCTAATTGCAGGGATTGCTCAAAAGGGCTGATTGATAAGTGCGGATGTGATCTGAGTGCCTTGAAACGAACGGAGCAGTACAATTGGAATGGATGCTCGGATAATGTTCGCTATGGTGTAGCTGTTTCACGAGCTTTTGCTGATGCCGCCGAAAAGGGAAAAAATCAGACAGTGGAGAGGAGAATCATGAACTTGCACAATAATAATGCTGGAAGACAAGTGAGACCCTTTACTCTTTGTTAAATGAGAGAAGAGGCTAAAAATTAATTTTCCTTGCAGCTTGTGAATAAATCATCACAGTACGGAGAATCTGAAGATAGTGGAAATAACAGTTCCTATTCTGCACTGGTTTGTATCCCTTGCAAAAGGAATATCGTACGCACCACAGCTTTCTGTGGCCTTATAAACTAACATTAGAGGATAAAAATCACTTTTTTATGCGTTTTTGCATAACTAATAAAACATTGTCGAGAGGTTATCCGTGTGTGTCGGTATGTTTGAATTTTGTCTCCCACTTTCATTTCAGCAGTTCGAGAAACTAGAAAGTTAAAATTTTACAAGCATGTCCCCAGTCCGTGTGCGTCTCCTTAAACTCGAAATCAGCATGATTGCTAGCACATGCTAATACATGGGCCACTTTTCAACAGAGAATGGTGGGCTCAAAAGGTACCGTATCCTTTAAAAAGTTTCTTTAAGATGTCATGTTAGGAAATTGTGAATTTGAAAGACTGAATAAATTAAGGTGTAACTGCTTGCTGGTCAGTC